ACAATCCAGGACTGCTGACTCCCATCTGCTCGCCTGCCTGCCTTCCTGATTTTACCTAACCGCTTTTGCCTGCCTCTTAACCACTCCCATGCCAGCTTGATTGATGTTTAACTGCTCCCCTGCTAGCCTGTTTGCTCCCAACTTCCCTCCTCTGCCGGCCTGGTCACCCCTAACTACCCTCCCCTGCAGGGTTGATCACCTCCAATTGCCCTCCCTTGCAGGCCTGGTGCCTCCCAACTGCCCTCCCCTGCTAGCCATCTTGTGGTGGCCATCTTATGTCCACATGGGGGCAGGATCTTTGATCACATAGGGGCAGCTATCTTGATCTTGTGTGTTGAAGTGATAGTCAATCTGCATATTACTCTTTTAATAGATAGGATAGAGGTCTGGTGCATGGGTGGGGACCAGCTGGTTTGCCCTGAATGGTGTCTTGGATCAGAGTGGGGTTCCTTTGGGGCATGGAACGGCCTGGGCGAGGGGCCTGTGGTGGTTTGCAGGCCAGCCATGCCCCCTGGTGACCCAAGTGGAGGCTCTGGTATCTGAAATTTATTTACCTTCTATAGTTGAAACTTTGTAGCCTGGAGTGGAGCCAAGCCTCCATCTGTGATTGCTGCCATTCTTTTTGGATTTGTTTACCTTCTATAATTGAAACTTTGTGTCCTTAAGTAAAGGCCTGGGCCCAACAGAGTGTGTGAAAAGCGTGGCTTCCTCCGTTGCCAGGGAAACCCAAGCCTCCCTTCTGGTAGCCATCTTGGTTGGGTTTATTTGCATATTCGCTCTGATTGGCTGGTGGGTGTGGCTTCTGGGAGTAGTGGAGTGTTGGTTAATTTGCATGTTACTCTTTTATTAGGTAGGATGAGAACATACTTTAGTTAAATTGAATGTAAGTATCCATCATAGGAACTTTTTTTTTTTTTTTGATAAATTTCAATAGCACTAAATTGTCTCTCCTTTTATCAACATTAATTCAAAGTTAAAAGATAAGTCTTTGGACATTCATTTTATACCTAGTTATCTCTGTTAGGCTTGGGTTTTCCAATGAACACTAGAATAATCATATTTAATTTTAGCTTTAAGTTAAAGGAACTAATTGTTTAAAAATAATTAGGCATTTTTTAGTTATTTTGTCTGAATTAGTTATGAAGTAAAGTTTGTAGCCTTGATGTTATGTCACTTGCATTTGTGTTATATCACTTGCTAGTACAACTCTACAAAGAGTATAGAGCAGGTGGCAGCAGCTTTCCTGAGACCACTGAGACCACAGAAGCACTGAGAGGAAGTTAGTGGAAGTGCTAGGATTAGGAAACCATTCTCCTGAAACAAGGTCAGATATTTTGTTTGTTGAACTATGCTGGATTTTATAGGTGAAATTATTCTAGTGAGTAAATTGCTGTTCATAGATTTTCTTGGGGACTGACTCACCTGATATTTAAATCTCTGATAAAATTTCTAAATCTCACCAGTGGATAGGTTTATTGATTTTAGAGAGAAGGGAAGGGCAGGGGATCAAGGAGAGAGACAAAGAGAGAGAGAGAGAGTGAGAGAGAGAGAGAGAGAGAGAGAGAGAGAGAGAGAGAGAATAACTGATGTGAGAAAGAGAAACATCTATCTGTTGCCTCGTGTATGTAGCTCAATGGAAATCCAAACTGCACCTTAGGTATGTGCCCAGACTGGAAATGGAATCTGCACCCTTTTGGCTCTTAACCAACTGAGCCACCTGGGCAGGGAAGGCTCTGTTGTATCTTAATTTTCTAACCTTTTGAATATGGTTAATGTAAGTATTAATATTTTTATTTGTTGGTATCCTTTTATTCTTCCTCTTCTTTCCTCCTCCTTCACTTCCCCCATCCTTAGGCACAGAACACTAATAGGTAATAAGAAAAATTAGCCTTTTAATTAACTTTTCTGATTTCAGCTGTCCCTTTTTAGTCTTTTTCTTTAGTTTTGTTTTTTCTCCCTTTAAAATTGATATTAGGCTTTCTGATATAAACACACACACACACACACAGCTTTTGCTTATAGAAACAAAGGATCTTAGATAAATGACAGAAAACACCCAAAGGATACGAATAGTTGACTCAAGGAGAAGTAGTCCTGTTACTACTAGTAATGATAATAGTATCATTTATATTTTTTTGCCATATGCCAGGTACTGTCCCCAAGTGTTTTATATGCTTACCAACTCATTTAATAAGTTGTAAATACTATTACCCTCATTTTTTCTAGTGAGGCAACAAAGGTTACGTAACTTGCTAGGCCCTTGCTACTTATAGAGAACTCATCAGTACAGAGCTGGGATTCAAACCGTGGAGTGCTGGTCCAGAGTTATGCTTTTGATCAAATAAATTATAATGATTTCTTATAAGTAGAACTAGGACTACAAATTAATACAAGAATATATCATTCTATTAAATGGACAGTTATTTTAAAATATATGCAATTTTTGAGCAGGTTATTTGTATTGGTGGGACTATTAATTGAAAAGCAATATGATAGCACTCATCTAAGAGCCTTAGAATATTTGTAGCCATTGACTGGTAAATCTAGCCATCTCTCCTAAGGAAATAATCAGGAAAATATGTGTTCAGAGATGTTCACCAGTTATTCTACCATAATAAAAAGCTAATATGCAAAACGACTGAACAACAAAATGACTGGTCATGATGATGTGCACTGACCACTAGGAGACAGACCCTCAATGCAGAAGCTGCCCCCTGGTGGTCAGAGTGCTCCCATGGGGGGAGCACCACTCAGTCAGAAGACAGGCTCATGAGTGGCGACACATGGTGGTGGCAGGAGCCTTTCCCGCCTGCGCAGCAGTTGGACATCCCCTGAGGGCTCTGGGACTGTGAGAGGGCACAGGCCGGGCTGAAGGACCATCCCGAGTGCACATCATCATGACCAGTCATGCACCGGGCTTCTAGTAATAATTATAATAGCGGAAAAAATGAAAGATTGTCCAGTTGTTATGGAATAAATTGTTTTTCTCTCCAAAAGTGACTAGAATATTATGTAAACATTAAAATTGTTTTTTGAAGAATAATTCATAATATATAAAAATATAACAAGTGGAAAAGCATGCTATAAAACCATGCGGTATGGTCCAAATTAAAAAATGTATATATGTAAAAAAAAACACAACCCCAAACCAGATAGAACATAGAATAAGATGCTTATAATTATTTTTAATGTGATTATGGAAAACATTTATTTCCGGTACAATTAGTTTCCCTTTTGTTTCTATTATTTTTTATTTTTAATATATTTTATTGATTTCAGAGATTAAGGGAGAGGGAGAAAGAGATAGAAGCATCAGTGATGAGAGACAATCATTGATTGGCTGACTCCTGCACGCCTCACACTGGGGTTCCAGCCCGCGACCAAGGCATGTGCTCTGAACAGGAATCGAACCAGTAACTTTTGGTTCATAGGTAGACATTCAACTGCTGAGCATGCTGGCTGGGCTATTTATATCATTTATTTTTTTAGTGAACTTTCTGCATTGGCAATGTAGTACTTTTATAGTCAAAGGTAACCAAGTGGCATAAACGCATGCCTAACTGATGCCAATACCAGCTTTTACTGAAAATATTCATTGAAGATTAGATTTGTATGTCTCATAATGCAAGAGGATAGGTTTCTGAGCTTCAGCTTTAGTTTGGAATTATTATTTTTGGAACCATGCTTGTTTTTGAAGTGGAGGTTTTTTGTATCAAAGAAAATTGAATTTTTTTCTTAAATATATTCATTATAGTGATTGATTGTTTCAGCACTAAATTTGTTTCGGTTATGTTAATAGAAGAAATAGTTATTATTCTGTCCTGAGGTACTTGTCTTTTGAATAACAACTTGTTGACAAAAGTTATTGGCTTGGTGGTGGTGGTGCTTGGGGAGAGGGAAGAATTGAGTACAAGGGGCACATGAACTGTTCGGTATAGAATGATGAATGAACTTTACTGTCAGTTTTGCATGCATAGTTAATAGTTTGTAACTATATAAGTAAGGAATTAAATTTTAGTTTGTTTTGAAACATCTTTGAAGTTTAGTTCCTTAAAGCTAAACTTTAACAAATTTTTAAAAGTACAAATCTAGCCCTGACCAGTTTGGCTCAGTGGATAGCGTGTCAGCCTGTGGACTGAAGGGTCCCAGGTTCGATTCCGGTCAGGGGCATATACCTTGGTTGCAGGCACATTCCCAGTAGGGGGTGTGCAGGAGGCAGCTGATCGGGTTCTCTTTCATCGATGTTTCTAACTCTCTATCCCTCTTCCTTCCTCTCTGTAAACAATCAATAAAATATTTTAAAAAATACAAATTTATATAATGGAACAAAGATACAGGTTCTGCTGTCAGCTGTTTTTTTAAGTTCTTATGTTTTAAAACACACACAGAAAAGATCAAACTACATTAGGTAATTGTTGTAGAAACACTTTTCTTTGTGCTACATGTTAAATAACATGAATAAATTGTTGATAACTTTTCATTGGTTGTATTAGCTTATTTTTCATAATGAAACACTGTGGTACTGATTCAAACTGTTTTCTTGATTGAAAGGACTTTGAAATGTAATTTCTGGATGAGAAGAAATTGAGGAAATTCTTGGAAAGAAATTACTTAAATTTTGCACTTATTTTTCAATTTCTTACCTGATTTAGAAATGCAATTATTGAATCAGCTAAGGAAGAATAATGTAGAAAGTAGTTTTATATATAGAGACTTTATAGTACATGTTTAGATAAAAATGACTTAACAGAAAATAATGATTATCTTTTGATTATATTTTGCTTTTAATATAAAGAGCTAGGTAGAAATCTTGATAGGATTAAATGAATAGTTTTCCCTTTTAAAAGGTTTGACATACTTTTTCAGTGGGAAAAATATTATGATTAAGTGCAGTGTATTTACCAAATTTGCTTATCTGTATAGAAGCCTGTTTTTAGGTTTTGCAACTAAAAAGAAAAAAAATCTAATTTGTTGTAATTAATTGTCTTGTCTTTTTGCAGGCTGAACTCACGGGAATCAAATGGCGTAGGTACAATTTTGGAGGGCACGGGGACTGTGGACCCATAATTTCAGCCCCGGCCCAAGATGATCCAATCCTGTTAAGTTTCATCCGTTGTCTGCAAGCCAACTTGCTATGCGTATGGCGTCGTGATGTCAAACCAGATTGCAAAGAATTATGGATATTCTGGTGGGGAGATGAACCCAATTTAGTGGGCGTAATACATCATGAACTGCAAGGTAAGGCTTTTTGTTTTTTCTTAAAAATTAAATGCATCGTATCTTTTTTGAACAGTGATAAATTCCAAAGAGGTTATTAATACTTGCTGAGAAGAAAAATCTTAATGTTTAATGGGTGTGTTTCTCGGAGGAAAATCCTCACTCTCACCCGTCTCCTTCCCACTCCCTCCCCCCCCTTTTTTTATTCCCCCCCAAATTCTATTGTCCTTTCCCAGTTTTGCTGGGAATCTGAAGTTTGTGAGCCACTATTATTAAAGAAGAGTTTTGTGTCTTCTGGATGTGTTGAGTTGGAAATCCACTGTGTAAAAAATATTTTTATTGATTTCTGAGAGGAAAGGAGAGCGAGAGAGAAATAGAAACATCAGTGATAAGAATCATAGATCATCTGCCTCCTACTTGCCCCCACAAGGATTGTGCCCACAACCAGGAATCAAACCATGACCTTCTGGTTCATAGGTTGATGATTAATCTCTGATCCTGCCCAGGTGGGCAAAATCAACTGTTTTACAAAGACAGTGAATTATAATTGGCAAGTCAGTGAAATGAACAGTTGTTTTTCTTGGACTGTAGCTGTGTGATTATTGCCAGCAGAACTCTGGTGGAAAATTATAAAATGATAATGGAATCTTAGTGCAAGCTTTAGTGGACAAAATTGTGAGAAGACATTGGCTAGTATTTTGAAGAAATATTAATATAAATGATCTGGTCTGCTTTTGGTGCAGCAACTTTTCTTTTGTTTTACTCATGTATTTTATGTAATTAGGTGATTCCAGGAAATATTTGTCTCAATGTTTCCTGATTTTTAATTTCAGATTACATCTGATACCTAGAAACTGAATTATTGTAAGAGTTTCATTATTCTAAGCTCTGCATTTTGTATCTACCACAGATTTATAATTAGAGGAAATTTTATCAATATTTTTGAATTTCTGATAAAAGTTTTTGCCTCTTTACCCAAATGTTTCTATCTAGTGCACTAAGGAATTTTTCTAAATCAAAACTGATTCTGATCTTTAGTTAGGGTAGAGCATTAACTCTTTTTGCCTCACTCTCTCAGGGCCACCTTTTCTGTCCAAACTACTCTATATTTTAGTAATTTGTGGTTCAAACATTTTAGATAGTGTTTGAAATGTTTTGTTAGTTGACATGTTTATTTTTTTAAAAGAAAGGAGTAAAACTAACTTTAATGTATATTGAGAGTTTATCCTAAAGTTTCTAAAGCTGCCTGAATGATTTCCTGCTAACTTTTGCTTGATACCTTCCTATCTTTTTAATGAAGTCATTCTTATCTGTGATATCTCCTGCCACAACAGCCAGAGGGCAGTAAACCACAGAGGAATAATTGAGCTGTTTACCTTATGGTCCATTTGTCTATTCAACTCAAACCCTTTCTCCCCATTTTTTTTTTTTTTTTTCAGAGTACTTGCATATAAATATAAGAACTCTTTTTAATTAAGATTGCTAACTTAGATGCTTAATCAGCAAAATCTCAGAACTAATTTATAGCTCAGAACTATTTCATGTAGTTAGCAGTGAACTCAGGTAAAATTACTTTTTTAACACCTGGATTTCATTGATCAGAATTTTAAAAATAAGAAACCTAGAAGATACTTCTAAAACTTATATCTATTCATTTAAATATCAAAACATATTTTTGTTGCTTAAATATTTTTTATATATGTAGTAGAGCCATAAAACATTTTTGTTTTAGTTTTTTTCACCTTTATTTTTTATGATTCTCTTCTGACTTAATCTCCTTCAGTTTCTCCACTTCACACTGATCCTTGATGTTTTAACTTTTCGGTTTGGTCTCTATTTGTTAAGCAGCGTAAATTATCATTTTATAATGATGATGAAACAAAACCCAACTGTCTATTAGACATATTTAGTTGATGTATAAAGTTATTTATTCTTAACAACAAAGCACATGATCACCATTCTTAGAAATAACTTATTGTGTTATTTCTCATGGACTTTGTATGTTACTGAGTTAACAAAATGATGTAGGTTATTTAAATTTTTTATAGTTGCCTTAGATTACATATGTGGATTCATTAATGTATTAAGTATCTTTGTGGTAAAGAATTAAGCAAAGATTAACTTTAAATTTTTTTTTAATAAATTACATAAATAATACATTTTAATTAGGGAATTAGGGAAACAGAACTACCAAATAAAGAGAACAAAGAAACAAAACCTAAAGTCTAGACCAGTTTTAATATTTGGTGTTTTTATGTATAAATGAAATTGGTATCATACTGTTTTGTAATTCAGTTCTTTTCCTTAACAGTATATTGTGAATGTTTTCTCATGAGAATAATTTATTTTTATCTTCTTTCCTATTGAGTCCAAAAACTGTGTAAAGTGTTTATTCCTTTCTGAGTCACCAGGAAAGTATTACAGTGATGGAATAGTCATAACTTTGTTAAGTACATCTACTCTTTTTAATGTTGAATTTGTGAAAGTTATTTGATTAAAGCATATGAAGCGTCTAATTTTGTAGATAAAGTGGTTAAAAAGGGTAATTTAAAATGGTTCAACATAATATTAGAAAATATTTGAAACTTAATTAAGAAAAATTAATGGGATAAAGACAACCTTGTTTTAAGTGAGGAAGAATATGACAAGTAGAGCAATCATGAAAAATAATGAAGGATACGAAGGGAACATTTTAATTGCTATTCATAAAATTGAGTTTTTTTGGCATCTATTTCATTCTCTTCTAATATGTATGAATCATTCCATTTTGTGTAAAATAACTTTTGGCAGAACCCTGTTAACATTAAACATGATACTACTATTATATTTGTAACATTTTCTTTTTATAGGGCCTTCTTACTTACTGTTTCTTAAGGTGTGTTTTGACTGTGTTATTAGGTATTTCATTTTGTCTTTATGGTATACCCATGTAGGATATCACTAAGAAACCTTACGGTAAAATATACCAAAGCAGTCATCTTAAATGTAAATATATAAAGAAGCCCTATAGAGAATAATCCTATGGATACACAAATATTTATATTTGTGTATCCATAGGATTATTTATAAATAATATTTATAAATATTTTATAATATTAGAGTTTTTGTTTAAATGCTTGAAATATCTGTATAAAATAGTCCGAGAGAAGACAAACACATTTATAGCCTGTCCCTATTACTTATTGCTATTTATATTGTACTAGAGGCCCGGTGAATGGATTTGTGCACTGGTGGGGTCCCTTGGCCTAGTCTGCAAACATCCCCCGCGGGTCCTGGATTGCAGGAAGGCACAGGCCAGGCTGAGGGACCCCACTAGTGCACGATTGGGGCTGAGGAGGGACTGCGGAGAGCTCCAGGGTATGTCCGGCCCGTCTTGTCCAGTCCCTATCAGCTTTACCCCAGCAGCAAGCTAACCTATTGGTCGGAGCACGTCATAGCGACTGGTCAAACAGTGGACACTTAGCCTATTAGGCTTTTATTATATAGGATAGCCTAGTGGTTCATAGAATGGGCTTGGATTTGAATTGTTACTAGCTGTGTATTCTTGGCCAAATTATTTATCTTAGTGTGGTAGCTTCCTCATTGTAAGTTGGGTTATAAGGATTAAAAAAGTTAAAGTACTTAAAATAGCACAGAGAATAATCAGGAATTGTAACATTACTGCTGGTACTACAAGGACAATTGAATCATACATCAAAATTAAAGCATTTCGTTTTTTTTTTTATACAACTGTTATGTATAACATTCAATGTTTGTCAAATATTGATTTTTAAAGTATACTTTTAGGTTGAAGTAATCATTTTTGAGTTTTGAATTTTACTGTTTGGGTGGAATAACTGGAAATAGTAAAGTGCCTAAGGCATTAAAGATAACACCCCCCCCCCCCATATGAAATTTGTCTGGATTTAAACTAAATAAAATTTTCTAATAAATCTTAAGTTGTGTTACAAAGAGGTCAGAACTTAAGATTTGATTTTCTTGGTTACCTGTAAGATAGATTTGTACCTTTTCTGCCTTCTCTACATAGTGACACTGAAGCAGGGAATTGGCTGAACGTGTTTTTCCTTGTGTCATTCATGAGTATTTTATCAGTGGCTCCCAATTGGTTTGATATAATCTCTTCTTTTGATAAGCTAATAATATAAAAATGGTATAAGACAAGCACACAAATATCTGTATGCAGAGAACACTGTAACTCGTACAGCAAAGAGAAATATAGTAGATTGACTACTTGCCAAATGGGCAGACACTCAATTCCAGATCTAATGCACAAGTGTTCCATAAACTTACAACACCACCACCGTGAGTTTTAGTGCCAAAATTGATAACCTTTTTGGTTTCTGGGTTGCCTACTTAACCTCTATTAGGCAAAAGCTGTGATAAGTTCTGGGTATGTAAAGTGAGTTCTTATCTTTAAGGAGCTCACAGTCTTACTTATATATGAATGAATCCTTAATTGTGATGCAGTGGAGTAAGCTATGCAGTGGAGTAAGCTATAAATCATTAAGCATGGATTCTGCATAATCATGAGATTCAACCTTGGGGAACAAAGGGTAGGGAGATGATTGGGAAGCCCAGAGTTGGTGAGGCTTACAGGTTAGGTAGAAGTTATCTAGGTTGGAATAGAACTCCTAGTCAGGGGAAGTTGCCTTACAAAGAGCCTGTGGGCAGTGAACAAATTGTGGGGAGAGCAGGTTGCCCGGAGCTTGGGGTATGACTGAAATAATCAGGGAGACTGAAAGCCTGGGAAGGCGTGGGGGGCGCAGTGTGGAGTACACTGAAGCAAGAGTGAGGAATTTGGACTTGATTTGATAAATTTTGAGGAATTGTAGGTCTCTGATCAGAAAAATAAAGAATTAGGTGGATCATACACTAGATGAGTATGAGCAGGAAGACCTTAGTATTGTAATAAATTATTTTATTCTAAGTTGAACTATGAAGTTAAATATTCTGTTTAGTTTAGGATGCAGATTTATTTAAATTTAAAAATACCAGTGATTATGTACTGAATAATCTTTGCA